ACAGACGCTCGCTGGACAACATCTGGGAGCACAATTTGGATACATATAACATTTTGTCCCTGATTGATGAACGAACCATGTGAAGGATACAATTGGACGCCCGAAACGTATATAAAGTATTATATTATGTAAATCAGGTTTTTGATAGTATTGAATTGTTTACTAGATAAAGTCATTTGTGAGAATGGACGAATTGTAATAAATTTTTAGTTTTGATTTTGTCAAAAAGCGGGACTAAGAGTGATATACACATTACCATTAAAAGCAAAAGACTAAAATTTAACCTTCAACGTCTTGAAACTTCAAAAGACTATGGAATCGTAGGCCATAGTGCTTGACATTATTTTCGGTAATCTTTACATGTCATTCCTAATTGTTTCTGAAATTAAACCCTTATTGATCCATCCTTTGTTTTTGGCAGAACTCCATCTTGGAAAAAAAACAGTAAATTTGCAATAGTTTTATGTCTAAGGGCTTTAGCGCCTTCTTGTGTACATGTAGTAATCGTCAACTTGAATTTTGAATTCAGAACCTTTATTGCATGTATTTAAAGTGAAGAATGAAATTTTTGTAGTTTTACTTATATAATAGCATAAAAAGTAGGTTTAATGCCCGACAATTGAATTGTAACATCTAACAGTCGAGTTTCAAAATTGCTTTTAGTGTAAGTCTGTACAAAGAACCATGATAGGCTTCTCATCATTGAGTTCGATCTAAAAGCCAAATTTGAATTGATTTATGGGTTACTTGTAACTCATTTTCTTCGAGAAATTTATTTAGAAGAACATTTTTAACTTTTTCTTTCAACCTCTTTAATCCAGCAGCCAAATTTGTTTTTTATCGTTAGTAAAAGATATCTATCTATCTATCACTGTAAACATGGTTGTGGTGCTTCCCTGTAAGGACTTGCTGATTTCATTGAGTTTATCGAAAATATCAGCCAAATAAGATAATTTCATTATTCATCTTAGGTATATTTCTTTAATAAAAATAGTGTTGCTTGTGCCTAACATAAAATGAACCAAAATAATTCGAAGTGGTCTGTATTCTGTCGAAACCGCCAGACGTGGATCGCGATTTCGATCTTTTTGGATCTCATCAGCGCGTCGCAGGCAGCTCCGACAGAACACAGACCAACTTTTACCTGCTGTCTTAACAGTGCGTTTTAGAAAATACTACAAATGGCGCAGTAAACGCCATCTGTAGCACGATGCTACATTTTAGGATTACGTATGCTCCAACAAGGTCCACTTGTGTGGATATCTACTTGCTGAAAACGAATCCTGGCGTAGCCAACATCAACGTGATAGGCACGTTAGCTTAATCGAATAAAATAATTCGAAGTGGTCCGTTTTATATAAAAATGAACCGTTAGGGTACGACCTTTTATTATTGGTTTGATTATGAAAAATATGCCGTTTTTATGGTTAGATATAGAATGGTTGCTTTTTGCAGAATTTAGTATATTTTTGTTAAGACAAAAACACTCAAACTCGAGCAACTCCTGTGACTCTTCCACGGAATCCCGGGTTTCCGCGGAGCCTTTAGGAAAAATTATTTATATCGAAAATTGATAGCTTTAACGAATAACTAACTAACATACGATTACGTTCCTATTTCGCTATACAAAACATAGTTTAGTGTTTTTGTTTTGAATGTAAAAGTTCACGCAACGTTTCTGTTGAACTGGACAGCATCTGGGAACTGCACACAACACTCACACCCAGACACATACGAATAACTTTCGTTCCATTTGCTCTTTGATGGATGATCGCAGTTTGCCGCTACATACGTCATCACCTCTCGATGTTCGCTTGTTTTCCTGATCACTTCACCCTCGAACGGCCGACAAAGGACGACAGGGGAAAACACGTTAACGCCGGGAGCGGACGGGCGTCGACGACAGGCGACGTCGTCACACCGTCAGGACTACTACCGAATATGTTAGTCACGGACTGCGCCACCACGGTCGACATGCCAGAGAGCGACAACAGTAAAAAGATATATCGCCGGTGAAAGAGTACCTACCCCCGGCTCAAAACTTGTATACATCATTTCTGTTAACATGTTAAGTTTAATTGAACATTTTTCGACGACAAGTCGAACCTTCCCATGTATGTAACTGCCTAGTTGGAGCCACTGGCCAGTAATTTAACGATGACGATTTATTAAAACTCAAGATTAAAAAAAACAACGAGTAAAGTATGTTTAAGATGAAATAGTTTATGTTCATTTAGAGTAAGTACTATTAAAGGATCATAAATCATATAGCGGACAAGATAAGTACGACAAAAGGAACTTACGGGAAGTTTTCGGAAATAATCAGGAATATTCTATGAACTCTATCAGACCGGCTAACCGATAAACGGTATATAAGTCAGTCTAGTGTCAGTAGTGTCTGAACAAGAAGACCAAACACTTGATAATTTAAAATTATTTTGTAATTCTTATCTTACGTGAGATTTATGGTAAGTCGATTCCGACGTATGCGCGTTAAGGCGAAATAAAATTCCTTGCGTCCGCTCCGTGCCGTCCGTCTCATTCTGAAGTGTAGGCGTACCTTTACAGAGAGATTCGCTTATAATGGTTTTTTTTTGTAATGACTAGTCTATTATGTTAGAACTGTGTTAAATGAATGGTTCGATAATCATAAGAAAAAGCTTATAATGAGTACTTTATCGTTAGTTTGTTTATAGTAAGACTGGTTAATATGACCAACCCGCTTATAATGACATATCATTTAATCTGGTTGTTACCTACAACTAGGGTTGCCACCCGTATTTTATTATAAAGTATTGTACTCTATGTCGACTGTGCGTACGTTATATTTTAAAGTACGCAAAAATACTTTATTTAAGGCCTTAAGTAAACATCGTAATTTTGTAAGCGATTATTCGAAATTTAGAGTATTTTTATATCAATAATATTGCACAAAAAATGGCAAGGCATATTTACGGGACAACCTGATTTCCCAAATCTGTTCAAAGTAGTGTTACTTTTGCTGTCCGTTCCGGCCACTTCAGCATTTACAGAAAGAGTATTCTCTGTTATGAACGCAAAGTGGCGGGACGACAGGAATAAAGCTTCATTAAAACTAATTAAAAATGAACTTTTACTTTACTTAAATCTTAGTTTGCCATGATTAGAGGCTATTAATGTATTTAAGAGCGACAGCAATTTGTTACTGGCTGCTAGGTATAACAAAAAATATGTTTTTAAAAACAAAAAATAAAATACTTTATTATTATGCTGAGTAATTGTTTTTTTAACCTTTTAGTCGAGAAATACTTTATGTAAAGACTGAAAAGGTGGCAACCCTACCTACAACACGAGTAAGTTGTATTACGCATTTTATCGATCTCGTGACCTATGCAAGGGTTTTTTAAGGCACCAAATTTTGTTCATTTATCCACAATGTCGAATTTATTTCAGAAAAAAAGGGTAACCATCCTTGTAGTGACTACTCATCTTAAAAGAATCCTGTTATCATGTGCATACTATAAAAAGTCATTCATACAACTTTGTCATCAGTCAATATACGCAAGTAGACATAAGTTATATTTTAGTACGTTTGCTGTTATGAATATTTGATGAAAAGTATTGACAAATTGTTTGGAAATATTGAAGACGCTTATATGCACAAACAACTTTTTTCTCTTTTTGTCCTTTGAATGGGTTTGGTGTCGATATAAACCCCCGAAAAGGGCCATTTCTTTATTTTCACGCTGCTTGACCCTATCGTTTCTTACAAACCATTAACTTGCTACGACCTCTCTCAAAATCTCTTCACAACTACCGTCTACTTACGCATGTAATACTCAAAATATACATGCCTGCATACGTACAACACACAAAAGGGCCTGGTGTCTACTTTACAAGCAAGGGCTGAGATCGCTTGCTTGCTTGCTTGCTATATGTCCACTTGTGGTCCCCTCTCTCGTCGGTCACGTACGGAGGTATATCGAAGGATCGACGAGAGGGTGGCAGAAAGGACGTGAAAGGAAATCCGAAAAGACTCGACTTTAAGAAAGCCGTCAAGTCCTTTCCGAATAATTCCTCTGCTGGAAAAAGTTTAGTTTAATGGCGTTGTCAAGTGTATGTTTTTAAAAGTTTAACAGCGACTAATGGTGAAAATATGTAATACACACACCTAACGTAAGCTTGAAGATTACTAAAACTGGGATAAATACATATTTATTATCTCTTCTTCAGCTAAACTTAATAGATTATGACGCTCAAATCCTAACTAATAATGTAAAATATATTAATAACGACAAAATCCTCGGAAAGTTTCAAAAAGCTAAGAGGTCTCGTGGCAATGTATTAAAATGATATTGATTTAATCTTGAAATGAAATTAAGATCAACTTTCATAAATTTTAATAAAAAGTAATTTTCTCATAATCCTCTACCAAAAAAAATCTGGGATTCTTTTACAAAGGACCCCGCTAGTTGGGAAATGACTCTCTGTCAAGCTATTTGAAACTTTGGATTCTGGTACTTCAACATATCCAGTATGTATAATAGGTATAATTGTACTTTGGAAGTCCCTATGGAAGAGCACAACTTTAAGGGATCATATCTTAATAAGCATAATAGCAATAATTTAGCATCTTGATCTACACGTCGTTAACTACCAGAATCCAAACTTTCAAATTATTAGACAGAGGACTATTTTCCGTAAGGATCTAGCAGGGTCATATTTGAAGTCGATAGACCCATGGGTTCGTATATACAATACTAAACTTTTGATTTTAACACCGAAGGAGATTCTATTATTAATAATTAATTAAAGATTACAATTTTATGTGTCTATAGAAAGGCCTCTCAGTCTAAGGTATAGAACTACAATATATCAATTTTAGGAAAGTTTTTTTATCACTTTCTTGTCTGAGAACAATAATTTGAAAGCTTTCTGATGAGTGAAGATATTTCCCAACGTAATGTCAGATCGAACCTCCAATGCAGCCTTTTTTTAAATATAAATGCATAAAAACTCACCTTACTCATTACTCTCGACGTGGAAGGTATTCCTACAGCGGTAAGATCTGAAATGAATAGGTAAAATTAGCTTGCGTTGTAAAATTTCCCGTGAAAAAGAATCTATCACTAAATGACCAAATTGGCAATGAATAAGACTTTCCGAGATAAAAATGTTCAGTCTCTCAGGGTCTCTGAATGCGAGACTCGAGTCTTTCTGGTGTCGCTGAGAGAGACTGTCAAAAAAACTGTTTAGCGTCTCTGAACGAGAAACTCGAATCGCTCATAGAAAGATCCTCATTTCGTATCCAGTCTCTGAACGAGAGACTCGAATCTCTCAATAAGAGGTGTCTCGATAGACATGGTTAAAATTTTCTAAGTTCAACATATTTCAGAGATCCCAGTTTTTCTACGAGAGACTCGAGTCTCTCAATTTTTCAGTTTTATTCATTCAGTCTCTCTGTGAGAGACTCGAATCTCTGAATTAACAATTTTATCGTTCGAGTCTCCCATACAGAGACTGTGAGAGATCCATAAAAACACCCAGGCAATAACTGAGAGACTGTGAGAGACGCTCTCAGAGACGCTGAAAGACTCTGAGAGACTGAAAATTTTAGTCTAGGGTTATCATCATAATTTTCTATTAAAAAGCGAATAAGAATCCAGTTCAAAGATATCTGACCGTTTTTCGTTTTCTTTTCCTGTGAAAACTTCCTGGATATTATTGAAAAATAACCATCTTGCACATGCTACAGGAAGTTAATGTTAATTTCTGGCGTTAAGTAAATTGCAAAAGTACAATTCGCACCGCACCATCAGGACGCGGCGCGGCGGTTTAAGTTCCAACGTGCGACAGCGGTGGTCTCTCTAATTCTATTTAGCGAAATATCTGGAATAATCTAAATTACCGTAGATGAGGGTCGGTTCGCCGGTCCTATCATGTCAAGTTTATAAATTATGACTCCCACATATCCCTAATGTGTTTTTAATCAAATTTACTCGGAAGCAACTTCGACTTAAATAATATATGAGCAAGATGGCATTTTAAGGGTATAGGTAGGACGGCTACAAAATGTTTAATTCGCTTAAAAACCTTTTTCCTGGATTATAATTATTTTACATGTCCATATGTATATAAATGTATATACGAATAAATCTGCCTGAAGGAATATTTAGGAGATTTAAAATTCAAGACAGAATGAAACCTTATATGAGATTGTTTCAACGATTTTCAGAATTTTGGAATAAACAGAAATATTTAAGTAAATTTTGTGCCAAAAAAGAAAAGTGAAAAGCTTGTGGTACCTACGGATCTTCAAAAAAGAAGAATGAACTTTTGAATTTTGGTTGACGAAACGTATTATTACTAATAACTCAAGGTCAAAACCGAAACTAATTGATTACAATAGAAAGACCTATTTCTTGCTCATGAATTTTATAAAAAGGACGATCTCGGTTTTGTTCAATTTAAAGTTTAAAGTATTCATTTTAAGTTGTTCAAGAATTTTTGTTTCTTATGACTATAACCTAGGTGTACTAGGATAGGTACGTTGATAACTAATACGATTTAAAGTTAAAACGAGCTATTTTCAAAAATTACCCAAATTTTGGTGCTTCTTAGCGGACACCTCAGGTGTTTCTAGAAAAATTCCTTTAGGCAAAACTGACCTTATAATAATGTAATTCTACCCTCAAAGTTTGGTTAAAACAAATTGGTGGGACAGCGGTTATTTAAATTCTAGATAGTCAAAAGTTACCCTTGCAATGTTATAGAGAAATGACCTCTCCCAACTTTATACAAACATGACCGCATCGATTTTTAATGTATTCTAGCTCACCCAGAACATCAGCATGGACTATCGGCTGACATCGGCGACGAGTGCTTATGGTGTGCTACCCCTTTAAATCAAGACAGATAATAAATTAAGAGAAACATTCTAAATTTTGACATTAATATAATGATGTGATACCAAACCAAAAAAAAAAAAAGAGAAATCGAAAAAAATGAGAAGAGTTTTCCAAATAATTTGACTCTTAAATATACTTTTGCGAAGTTTTTTTTTTTTGTAATGTGTCAAATGGTTCAGAAAACTCGCGTTTCATGAATTTATTCCAATCGAATAGTAGAGTTCGAATTCTGTTTGTTCCGTTATTTCGGTAAATTTCGACCTTAATTTTTTAATTCCGTTTCTAGACAAAGGGGACCGGAATCGGAGAACGCCGCCGCACCGTTCCAGGTTTTCCTTTCATGTGTGCTCACGTGAAAAGAAAAGAAGGGAATTAATTTCCTTTAGTAGATAAACAATTCCCGGTGTTGTAATACAGCACAGCGCGGCATTCGAGAACTGAGCCGAGAGAAGTCCGGAAGTTTTCTGTTTGTGAGGATGCTTCCCAGTCCCCATTCGACTTCTCCCTACACCTGCAAACAATGAGAACAAACGGTGTTTCTTTTGTTATCCTCCTTTTTGAATCGTATAATACACCGACACCGACACCGACACCTCCACACCGGCAAAACGCATTCGACCGCGAAGAAAAACGGGAAACATCGTAGGTGGCTGGGAACAACTTAAAATTATAAATCCCTATCAGGAATTGACACGACCCTTCTTCATTCAGCTATTTTTAATCGTAAAATATTTTGTAAACTAAATAAATTCTGTAGAAGGTTATTAAATTCCACTTAATACAAATAGATCTCATACATATGATTTATTGAATCAGTATCACAAGAAAAGAACACAGAACTGTTACGTTCGAATGCCGCAAGTAGCGATCGATATGGCATCACCGATGACGCTGCAAAAAGTCAACAATCACGACCGTTTACGGAAATATTTAGGAATTTTTATGATGTATAAATATAAAGGTGACCAATAGAACGAATGAAAGAAGTGTTATTACTATTTTTATATTTTGTCGTGTGGCGAAATAACTGTTATTGTTTTATTTTTGTGTGTAAATATTTTTTTCTAATTTTTCCATTTCAAATAATACTTCATTTCAAATAATATTTCATTTCGAATATTATTTCACTTCAAATATTATTTCAATTCCTTTTCAACTTCTTATCTTGTAAATACTTTGGTTTCCTTTCAATCTAAACTCTATTGTTCTTTCAATCACTTTTACCTGGAAATCCAACTTCAACCATACCTGCATGCACTCCCATACTAATATCTGGTTTTACCCTTAATTGCTTTCTCTTGAATTCTGTACTGTCTAATTCTATGTATTCCTATAAACTAGTGTCTTCACCCTCTCTCTCACTACTTTTCCTTCTAGAACATTCTATCAAAATTACTAACAACCCTATCCTATAAATACTCTAAAATTTCTTATCTCAAGTCGTAAGTGCTTTTATCTACTCTGTTGTATTGTTGTTATCTTTGTTGTTGTTACTATTGTTGTATTATCTTGTTCTTTCTGTTACTTTGTTCTTGTTGTATGTTTCACTCCTTGTGCCTTTTTGTTACTTGTGTTTCGCTTGTTATTGTTATAAATTGTTAATTGTTATTATTAGTGTTTTTTTTTGGCATTTAAATAATATCCACCAAAAGACACGAAAGTCGGGTTTGAACCATGTGTATATTAGTTTGCACTACGGTTTCGAGATGAATTCTGCATTTCATTTCTTTAGGGCAGACACTCCGAAACCAGAAAGAGATCAACATTAATATATATCTACTGATAAATGGTAAATCGTCTTCCCAAAATGGGATTTGGTTTGACCCGCACCTCAAGTACAAATAAATGATGTTTTGTGACCTGGTAAAAAGTGAGACATCGGTAATTAACTTTAAGTGTGGAGAGTTAGAAGTTAAACTTTTTAATAATCGACTACTTAGAGGGATAGGGAACATCATTTCTCTTTTTATTTTTCCTATTCGATTTCTTCCATTCGTTGATACATTGCCAAATATTCCCAGATAATTTCAGATTTACAACAATGCAAAGCGGAAATGGACTGTTTTGGTTCATTCGACGTGAGTGTCGTGCAGTCGTCGAAGAAGACGTTCACGACAACGTCAAGGGTTTGTCGACGTCTCTACAGTCGTTACCCCCTCATTCCCTCCACTACGAAAGCCCTGGTTTCCTTTAATATTTGACGCTGAACACATCTCTCGACTGCAGCAAACTTTTTAATTGACAACGTGTACGGTTTCTGAGATGCGAGAGAGAGCCTGAGCCTCTTTCGAAATGAATCGATTATAAATGAGCAAATGTAGCAACAGCGGCAGTACAGCAGTGGAAGAAGGAACAGAAAGAGACAAGAAAGGGCGAACCAAGCGCTTGGCGACTGGCGAAGAGTAGGAAGGAAGAAGGAAAAGGAAAGGGGATGACGCATATTGGTTTAGAGTCCCTTATGTGTGTCCGCCACAGATTCTGACTCCTAATTAAGCCCGAGGGTGGTGCAGGGGGCGCAGGAGGACTACGAACGACCGAAGGAGGGTATTGATCAGGTCGACCATCCAGACCTTCGTACGCTATGAAAACGTACATACAAACAGTATGTAACAACTATTGGGTCAGTGGCAACAGCTTCCTGAAAAGACCATTGCATCATAATTTAAATAAAAGACTTTTTAACATGGTTTGGGATCTAGAAAACACATTTGCTCCTAGAATTCGTAATTTTGTTTGAAAAAATAACCAAATTGTTCCCGTTTGATAAAGCATCATGCATTTTATTGATTGTTTACTTTAACTTTTTGTTGTAGGTATTTGAGTTTTAAAGTACCACGTAATTGTTTAAGAGTTGATCTCGCCCTCTCTTCGGTTACGTCCCTGCCACGTTATAAATTTCCACTCGGCTTCGATAACTCAATAGGTTTATTAGTTGGTTGGCAAGATGCTTGGAACGCAATTCTTCATTTAGAACATAAATCATGACGATGCGTTTTTCCGGCAGAGGACGCATCCATCGTCTTAAGTTTGTTAGTCAATTCTGCCTACCCCGCAACCGCCACACCACCCGCCCCTTCCTTCTTACATTCGCACCGTCTCTTCTGGCAGGAAAACGAAGAAGAAGAAGGCATCCGACAGGTCGTTATTGAAAAATTGGCCG